ATTTACCCTTATGACTGGTTTTGTGGTCCATGGTCACATATACTGTAAGTAATTCTAAAATAACACAATCAACTTTCACACAAGAGAACATGGTGGTTCTCACCTTCATCCCAAATGTGAAGATGGTAATGATGATCTTGAAGACGAGCGCTAGCGCGAGCTGCCATAGGGCACTGTAGACGCCGGGCCCGGCGGGTCTGTCGGGGATGTCATCCACAGGCCGGGTCATGTTGGGGTTGTTGATGTAGTCACAGAGCTGCGAGGACTCGAGTGCGCCGCAGTCGTTGAACAGCTCTGAGATCAGCTCACTGGTGCTACGCCGCGTGTAGGTGAACGGCACCAGCTCGGCCATGTACCACGGCGTGTGATACTCCACGTAGAACAGAACCAGACGATTGTTGCCAAACGGGTTGATGGAGCGCAGCGTGAAAGCCGCCACCAGTGCCGCAAAGAAAGACCGCCATAACGTCTTCAGAGGGAAATAATAACTCACCTGCAGACACACAAAAGATATTTAGATTAGGGCTGAATCATTCAGAAACTAAAGCCGCGTTTCCACTGCAGGAACTTTCCCCAGGAACTAGGGACTTTGGGCTCGATGGTGTTTCCACCGCAGGAATCAGGATCTAAATAAAGTTCCGGGTAAAAAATTGCCCCTCAGAAAGTCCCTGCTCGCCAGGTAGTACTTTTTCAAAGGTCCGGAACTTTCGGGGGCGGGACTTGGGCGCTAAACATGCTGATTTGTTGAGGTCACGCAGCACTGTATTTCAACCACCATTTATTTGGATAATTTTCAAAATGTTACTGATATTGTGTCATGAAATGTAGTTTTAAAAGTATTTCAGGCGAGAATGTAGTTGTTTAAAACTCAAATCTGCGGTTTATTTATAAAAACAGCGCCTATTTGAAAATGTGCTTCGCTGATTTCGAAGACGGGAGATCCACGCGATCAGCTGGTGCTCAGTGCTCATGTATCCCAACGAGAGCAGCCTCAACTCGACTAGTCCTTCTGACATTTGCCGCTGGCTCTGATGTCTCTGTAGTGGATAAACATAAGATATAATTCGTTTTGGGTAAATCTTAACAGGTAATCTTTGGTCTTTATTCTA